ATTGACATAGCACTTATAAGTAAAACTTGGTTTCAACAAAATATTGTCTACATCTATGCTGGAGTCGCAATATTTATAAAAAAAAAAATATTAAATTCGAGGTTCTGGAAATCAATAAAAACTTTAATAATAAATTACTCGCATGTGGGATTAAAATAAAATATAACAACCGCAATTTAAATTTTTTCTCGGTATACAGATGCCCACAAACCAAAACTAAAACTGAAGATTGGCACAAGTTATTCTCACAAATTAACCACCTTTGCATTATTGGAGGCGATATGAATGCGCATAATTCTATTTGTGGTTCTGCCAAAAACGATTCTGTAGGTCAACAAATTTTAAATACTGTACATGATTTAGATTTAGTAGTAATGAATAATGGCGAACCTACTTGTCAAACTCGTCCTGGGAGCCTTTCTATGATAGATATTTCCATTTGTTCACCACAAATATTTAATAAAACCAATTGGGCGGTAGATGTAGATACATTAGGATCAAATCACTTCGTGATATCGAAAATACAGAAAAAAATAATGATATAATTTACCCTAAAAGTAAATGGAATTTAAAGAAAGCCAATTGGCCCTTAAACAAATAATTAATGGAAACATACATAAATGATAATCCACCTCATGCTTTAAATGCTAGTGGAAAGTACAATTTTTTAATGAGTTGCATTGACAATGCAGCTCACCAATCCATCCCAGAATACAAATCCTTTAAAGCCAAAAAACGACCTTCTTCTCCTTGGTAGGATGTGGAGTGCGACCAAACTATTAAAGAGTGGAAAAACGCCTTAACTCTTCATAAGGAAACATCTTCTTTTATAAATTTTGTTAAATATCAGGAAGGGAGTGCTCGTACTAAAAGGTTTTTAAAGTTTAAAGCTAAACAGAGTCGGATCAAATGGTGTTTCTCTTTAAACAAACAAACTCCGTCCACCGTTATCTGGAATCAAGCAAAAAAATGGCAAGGAAACCAGTAAATAACTCCAAATCCTCATCCCTAGTGGATATATGGTTAGACGACTTTTACAATAAAATTGCATCCCCGTTTGTAAGCACCCCAATGCCTAAAGTTACTAAGATTACTGATTATAATCATTTCCTATTACTCCATTTCTTACGAACAAAAAAGGATTTTGCTCTTGACAACCGCAAAAATACTTCTCCTGGTTATGATCAAATTAAATACCCTATGCTCTTTAATTTAACAGACACTGCTAAAAACCTACTTTTAAATATACTTAACCAAAAGCATTTAAAAAAAATGTTGTTCCCGTATGTAAATCAGGGAAGAACCCTAACTTAGTTGAATCTTATAGACCCATATCATTGCTTTAATGTGTTATTAAAACTCTAGAGAGGATGATTAAGTTTGGGTTTGAATGGTGGTTAATGCAACAAAAGCTTCTTCCAGAAAATCAGTATGGTTTTAAAAGGGGTTTTGGCACAATGGATGCCTTAAGTACTTTGTTGGTAGATATTCAAAACAATTTCTCAAAAAACAATTGTTTACCTGTCCTTTTCCTTGACATCGAAGGTGCGTATGATGCTGTGTCTTTGCCACTTCTCCTAGATAAAATGATTAAAATATTTCATATCCCAAAACAATTTGCAATCAGTATTATAAATTTTTACACCAACAGATCAATTTACTTGCGAAAAAATCAAACTGTGCTAGGCCCTAGACTTAATAATAAAGGGTTACCTCAGGGATCTGTTTTGAGCCCTGTTTTATTTAATATGTACACATTTGATTTATATAATATTCAAATAAATAATACATTATCATTTAATATTGTACAATATGCCGACGATTTCTGTATTTATACTTAATACAAAAAAATTGAAACCGCCTTAGAAAACTTACAAAATATTTATTTAGTTTTACAAAGACGGTTGACCACAAATAGCTTTGAATTATTAGTTAACAATCTATGATATTTATTTTTACAAGACACAATTCATCTAATATGAATAACATCATGTTTGGACCCGACGATTTCATGATTCAAAATGAAGCGAGGTACTTGGGTATGATTCTGGATAGGAAGCTGACGTGGAAATCCCATATTAATAGTACGCTGAATAAGTGCAAAAAATGAGTAATTTTTTTAAAATCGGTTGGTAAGACTTGGTGGGGTGCTGATATTGAAATTGCTCAATTATTTTATAGAGCTTATATTCGCTCTATCTTGGATTACGGATGTACATTATACGGTTCTGCTAGTAATAATCTATTAAACAGAATCAATATTTTTTAAAACTCTGCTCTAAGGACAGTCTTAGGTGCCATGAAGTCTACTCCTATTCAACCCTTACATGTGGAAGATCTGGAACCTCATTAGGAAATAAGAAGAAATTATCTCAGTGAAAAAATGTTAATTAAAATCTATACCAATAATCCTAAATTATTTTATCAGATTATTATATTAAATAGTTATGATTTGACTAATAAATATTGGGTTAAAAAAATCCCCACCCCTTTGTCTCGCTTTACAAAACAATAGCAATATTGTAAGTGCTCTGTATAAAACAACCGACCACCCTGGAATTAATGATTTTTTTAGCTTTTATTCAGACATTTCCTTTAATAAACCAAACTATGAAGAAAATATATAAGAAGCAATATATTACTCTCTATTTTAAATAATTTTAAAGATGCCTTATTATTATATACGGACGCGTCCAAATCAGCTAATGGCGTGGGTTCTGCTTTCTTTGAACCTAAAGAGCACATAAAAAAATCTTTTAAAATTAGACAAGAATGTTCCATCTATACTACGGAAGCTGCGGCTATCTATGAAGCACTTATTTACGCCTCTTCCTGCAACAGCGAAATGATAGTCATTGTATCAGATTATCTCTCTGTTTTAACATCTATTAAAAATGGGCTTTCTAATACATCGACTTACCCTTTTGTAATAAAAATTAAGAAACTTATCCAAACATTTTCAGAAAGAGACCAGAACGTGCATTTTATTTGGATTAAAGCTCACATTATGCTGAAGCAGAACGAACATGTAGATTTGTTGGCTAAAAAAGGCTCAGTAGCAGGTTCTAATACTTCATATAATTTATCTGTTTCTGATGTTACTGCAATATTAAAAAGAAATCAATTCAATAAATGACAACACTTGTGGCAGGAATATTATTTTACAAACCCAACGAGGTATACGACTTTTCAGTTAAACATTTCTAAGATCTTGGTACAAGCATTATAAAATACCGCGAAAGTACATATCGACAATGATTAGGATGAGATTTGGTCATGCCTGTTATCCTAGCCATTTATTTAAAATTAAAGTCTCTGAAAGTGACCAATGCGAGACATGTAATGAAAAAGGAGATCTAGACCATATCTTCTCTAATTGTACTTAAAACAAAAAACTCTCTGACAAGCTATATAACGACCTGCTTAAATGCAAAATATGCTCCCCTTGGAATATCCAAAGTTTATTGTCCTCCAATTCCACAAACATTTATGACTGCTTAAATATTTTTTTAATGGAATCAGGTATACGCTTGTGATTAGTAATTCTCTTATACTCGTTACCTTTGTTTCCTTTCCTATTGTTTTATTTTACCCCCTTACCGTGACCTAGTGTATGTCTGTTTTTTTGTAATGCTTTGATGGGTCCCTAGGCGAGAAGCGAGTGTCCCCGTTTAATCCTTTTGTTATTTGAAATGAAATATTTAATGATTTACCTCTTCCATTTTGTGACTGGCTGTATGACAAGAGTCTATGCAAAAAAAATGTAACAACAAAAACATCTCAATGTAGAAAATGTTCAGAAATGCTTGCCGCGAACCTCTTGGCAACATCCTAATCTGAAATAAAAATTTCTAACGTTACTCAACATCTTAGGAGTGACCGATCTAATCTTAACTCAGCTAGGTTTTATTATTTCCTAAAGAGTTAGGTATAGGTAAGTAATATAGCAGCACGGATTCGGCCTCATTCCCCATGTTAATTCCCATAAGAAATCGCTAAGGTTCATTCTGGCAATTTTTGTCTAAATCAAGGTCACACGCGGTGCTCAGGCACGGTTTCTAGCGCAAACCCTATGACAGAGGAAAATGTGCAAACCATCTGGTGAACACCTGCATCCTGTTATAATATGTAATTTGATGGGAAAGATAAAGACATCCGGTTCTCACGCGAACACCTGCACCCGGCCATATGGTGAACACATGGCAACATCTGGTGTCCATACGTGGCATGTAATTTAATATCTCTGGGAATGACAACAACTTCATTTTCTCAGGCGAACATATGGCGACCATCTGGCATGTAATTTAATATCTCTGGGAATTATAACAACTTCATTTTCTCAGGCGAATACATGTTGACCATCTGGCATGTTATTTAATATCTCTCGGAATACTAAAGTGATGTGTATTTTTAGAATGAAGGTTAATTAAAATCTTAGCAAGACCAATACATACGCGGTAATTGTCAGGACATATATATAGATTCAATTGGATCGCAAATCACCTTCATGAACGAAACACTCTAGATGCCTATTATTCTTTAAATGTTACCTAAAAAGAATTTATGCAGTTCATTTCCTCACCATCTTATATATTGTTTACCAATATAAGGAGATAGAACTATGGCGCGTTTTATTTTAGAGTGGTATCCCCAGGAGGCCTAATCCACTTGCAATAAAGTAGTTAAGTAATCAATTGACCGACTCTAGATTAAGACTTAGGTACTAATGAAAAATTGCATCTTTTTCATTCTTTTCATGATTGCGAGGATAGGTTGCAGGTGAGGATAATCTTTTTTAAATGGCTCTTTTTGTACCTCATCGGTTCTAGATTGTGACTAGGCTACCAATGGGAAGTGGCATCTTTTTTAATTCTTTTCATGATTGTGAGGATAGGTTACAGGAAAGGATTATCTTTTTAAATGGCTCTTTTTGTACCTCATCGGCTCTAGATTGTGACTAGGCTACCAATGGGAAGTGGCATCTTTTTAATTCTTTTCAGGATTGACAGGGTAGGTTATAGTGGAGGATTATCTTTGTTAAATGGCTCTTTTTATACCTCATCGGCTCTAGATTGTGACTAGGCTACCAATGGGAAGTGGCATCTTTTTTAATTCTTTTCATGATTGTGGGGATAGGTTATAGTGGAGGATTATCTTTGTTAAATGGCTCTTTATGTACCTCATTGGCTCTAGATTGTGACTAGGCTACCAATGGGAAGTGGCATCTTTTTTAATTCTTTTCATGATTGTGAGGATAGGTTATAGTGGAGGATTATCTTTTTAAATGGCTCTTTTATTATTTTTCTCTAGATTTGTAGCAATAGAAATTGAATACCTAACCACTTTATTACTAATTTTAGCAAAGTAGCATATAATTGAGAAGATTCATCCAATTTAAAACTTACCATTCATAGGATCATCATTGATTAAATAATGACCCCACGGCAACGTTTCATCTGACCTAGTAATTAGAATTCTTTTATCATCTTCATGACTGAGTGCTACTTTTCGTTGAGTTATTGAATGTACTTGATGTTTTTCGGATCGTATTAAATTTTGAGAGACAGTTTTAGATCTAAAACTCTCTAAACATTCAACGTAATCTTCAAAGGTTATGACTGATTTTACCACAGATGACTTTACACCCTTAGCCTTTTTTGTCACGCCGTAATTTTTCAAAATTTCTTCAATTTCACTTTGATCATACTCCATTTCCTCAAGCTCCTTCTTCTTCTTCATAATATCCTTAGTCCTATACATTACTTTTGTTGCATACAATTTTGATCTTAAGCCTACATAATCTGTCATTGGTACACCATTATTTTCGTCTTTCATTAATCCTAAAACTTTTTTATTTACAAGTGGAATGTTATAGATATTTTGTTCGGGGTAGTCTGAAGTATCGAAATATTGGTAACAGTCTCTCTTCATTGCAACGTAAGGGTCTTGATTGTTAATTTCATATATTAACGAATCGGTGTCGGTATAGAGAACTGTACAATCTTCAAAAATTGAGGACATATAACCATAATGGAAGTCATAAAGAGTTGTCTTCGCCAAATCCAGAATCGTTTGACCGACGTATATAGGTTTATTCAAATATACTTGCAATTTCCTTAACTCAACAGCTACCAAGTTCTCGTTAAATATCGTGCAATTTTTGAACTCTGGTTTTGAAATATATGCCTCTGCACCGTACCGTCCACTCCATTCAGTTAGAAGACGGATATTAACATGTTTCCGAACAGACTCTAAACTTTTACCAAATATAGCATTGTTCATTAGTTTGAATAAGTTTTTCTCAAACTCATTCTTTGCAGCTTTTCTTAAATTTGTATTAAGGTCAATATAAGATTTTAGCCAAGGACTCTGTTTAAATTTCAACACTCGATGAATTTTTGTCACTATTAAACCATGTTCCACTGCTTGCTTCAGAGCTCGATAATGAATAACATATTTTTCCTTAGGGTTTAAGGTAGCCATTAACTTTGTTAGTTCTTTGACAGTCTTCGAAGGTTTGCCAGTTTTAGGATTAATATGCTCAGGACAGAAAGGAATATCTTTATGGTGGTCATGTAGATGTTGTGGGTACTCAAGATCGACTTCAAGTATACATCCATCTGCGGCATCGTCGGGAATAGACATCACATCAATATTAGTATCTATCCATTCGAATCCGCCATAAGGCAAATATTGAGACATCGCCCACCCATACTGATTGTTCACATCAAAATACATCAAATATTTAGATGGTTTTGTAGAGTCATAATTAGGAATATATTTATTGTTCGCGTGAGCTCTTCTTTTGGAGCAGACCTGACTAAGACCACCTCGGATACCTTTTTCCACAAACAAAAACATATCAGGATCCGTAAGCAGCTCCAGTTCCTGCTTCGTGTACTTTAACATCGCATCCCACGTAAATCCAGGTAAAGTGTAATAATGTGCCGGATCAAGTTTATACGTTTTTAAACAAGTAGTTCTAAACTGCTCAAATATGTCTGCCAGCAAAAGAATATCAGTCTTCATGTATAACTCAACATAGTCACCCAAGTCCTGGCAATTAAATTTGCTCCATACTTCCTGTGCACGTTGGTATAGACGACAAGGACAGGGCTTATCTTCCAACTTGTTGTAAAATGATTCGATTGGAGGTAAGTAGGTTTCATCAAAACGATCGAATGAGTCGAAATAATCATAGGGCATCACGCCTTTCTTTGTTAATAAATTAAACTGTTCTTGAGGTAAATAGGGAAATTGGGACCTAAAATTAGGAAATTCGTCCATGTATGAAGCTAACTTGTCCAAAGAAGAAGCCATGAACCGAAAACTATCGATAAAACGGAACTGAATAGGATACTCATTAATATGTTTTGTAAATGAGATGTACTTTTCCTTGGTGATGGGCAGCAGATCAATGGATCCATTCATTCTGGTTGCAATATCGGTAATAATGAAGTGAGCATCATAACCACTTAAATTATGGAAAACGACTGGGACGGTATGACTATCTTTGAAATTGATATTGCACGCTTCATGGGAGGCGCCTCTAAAGTTGGATTCTGGGATGAGGTGAAAATGATCACGTACTTTCTTATCTTCAGACGTGAATGGTTACTCACATATGTGACAATGAGTTGCTTTTCTGAATTCTGCTTCCTGAGTAGGAGTCATGTGGATATTATAAGGGCACCAAAAGACAGTTGCCATATCTTCAGCAAGTTGTGCCATCTCATCAGCGAACCATTGCATACAATCTACACCTCGATATGATCGATAAAACGAAATGGAATTATCATAAGAGCACTTTAAGTAATAACCGACAGCAGCAGGAATATGGTGTTGAGGTTTTTTAGGATCATTCGTCGGTCTAAGAACACTCTCAAGATCAGCATAAACAACAAATGGAACTTTTTCCTTGTTTTTAAAGTTTTTAAATTTGAGAATGTTTTTTCCAGGTTCGGGCATTTTAATAGCAGTTTCATTTAATTTTTCACAATCTTCAATATGGCTGTTTAATTTTGATTCGGAACGGAAATAATGAAGACACCGATCACAGAAGTATTTTTGACTTTTCTCCTTACTTAGTTGTTTGGAAAGAAGACGAGAAAGATTTTTAATCCAAACAAAGTGATATTTTACACCCTCTCCCTCCTCATAGTACTTATCCTGAATAAGCAATAGGTTTACATGTTGATCTTTCTTATCTTTAGTAAGATAAGTGGGAAGAGGAATAAAGGATTTTTTCTGTTTTTGGAGGATATAAACATTTATGGAAACATTATTTTGAATTTCAAAATTAGGAATTTGTTTCATGGTCATTGGAAATTGAATACCTTTTAATTTGAGAACAGTTGAGTAGTGAGGGTAAGATGAAACTCTATCAGAATTTTTATGAATAGGGTATAAAGCTGATGTAACAGCCCAAGCGAAGCATGCATTATCATCGTTCTTAACATTAATACATGCTTCTTTTCGTTTAATTTGAGGAGGTATCTCGATGTACGATGACCCAAGTTGAGGAATGTATTTATTTATGTTTACACCTAAATTAACAATTCGTTTTAGTGCCCAGCCACTATCACGTTCTTGAAATTCCTCAAGTTCATTTAGAATAGGGTTATTAACCTTTTCATCAAACCAATTATCAAGATTAGTATCTCTATAGATTGCAGAATTTGAGGTAGTAAAGTACTTGTACTCATTAAGTACACTGTCACCCTTTACAATCTGAAACTCACCTCCAAATACTGCATTAACCTTCACCGCAGCATCTTTTTTTAAAGCCGCCTGTATCCTACGTTTAAAAAGGGACTTAGCATCAATCAGGAAAGCTTTTGGATCCTTATGATTCATATTTGATATTACTCCCGTCAGGATACGGCTATTGAATGCAGTATCGGAATCATCCCAACGGACACGTTCTCTAGCTCTCTCAGGTCGTGATGTAAGCCCTGCCCCTTTCTTCAGTGTCGTTTTTATCTGGTAACGATAAGTTTTAATATTCCTAAGGCAAGCTTCCAAATGCTGTTTTTCACCCAGCGTTTTGGCACTTTTCAATTCATAATTTATTTGTTTTATCCCTTTCTGACACTCTCGTAGTCCTTTTTGAGCTACAGCCTCATCATACCTCGTAGATAGCAGACCGAGAAAACTGGCGATGTAACGAACCAAATCACCGAAGAGTGACATAATAAAACACTTGTTCACAACACAATAATCTGGAACTGAATGAGAAGCGAGTTAAAGAAAAGTGGCTTTATACTTCTTTAGTACACATGCGCAATAACTTCACTTCACTAATCTTCTTCTTATTTTAGTTTTTTGCCTCTACCCCTAGGGTATTTAACCACTAATCTGTATTTTTATGTACCTTTATTTAATAAATTTACGAATGTGTCGGTGGATTGTAAGGAAAATCTGAAACAAAATAAATTTGTTTTTAAATTTTTTTGAAAATATAATAATTTTAAGAAAATACCCAAATTTTAATTCTATCGACATCCTCAAAACGTAACAACTTTTTTGGTATTTTTTCCAATAAAATAATAACTTATACCCCTACCTCAAGATAAACCACCATATTTAAGAATATTTTTATAAACTAGAGTGTCAAATATGGATCAAAAGTAGAAAAAGGTAAAATATTTCTTATTAAACTCGAAAATACTTAAATTTTAAATCTATCGACATCCACAAAACTTAACAACTTTTTTGTTATTTTATTCCACTAAATAATAACTTATACCCCTACCTCAAGATGTACCACGATATTTAAGAATATTTTTAAAAAAACTAGTGTGTCAAATATGGATCTAAGGTAGAAAAAGGTAAAATATTTCTTATTAAACTCGAAAATACTTAAATTTTAAATCTATCGACATCCACAAAACTTAACAACTTTTTTGTTATTTTATTCCACTAAATAATAACTTATACCCCCACCTCAAGATATACCACCATATTTAAGAATATTTTTAAAAACTAGAGTGTCAAATATGGATCTAAAGTAGAAAAAAGATAAATTTTTCTTATTCAACTCGAAAATACCTTAATTTTATATCTATCGACATCCTCAAAAC